TATATATATACATATACACACATATATATATATATATGTATACCTATATATATATATATACGATATATATATATATATATATATACATATATATATATATATATATATTCTATTGTATGGACACGTATACTTATCTACTTACTCAACTAGCCCAGCGGCGCTCATATCTTGTCCTCCATATAAGATCTCACCGGTTGCGCTGATTTTGGGCTGAGCTGCGTTGTGCAGGAAGTAGGCGATACCAACCTCGACGCCCATGGTGATGATTAAAAAATTCTACTCATGGAAAGAACATAGAAACAGCGGGAGTGTGAGCGTCATTAATGTATGGAAACGTGGAGATAACAGAAAAACATCGATACAGTAATGAGTTTTCGAGAAAAAAAGTGTGTTGGAGGACATCACATAGCAATGTATTTATTTTAACAGATGAGTTCCTAGTGATCGGTGAGCGAAATTTTCTCCCATAAGAGCACCTATTTGTCTTTAGTTATATATGAGTTCATGATTGTCGCATTCGAATGTGTGAAAGTACTCATACATATCAATGTACACATGCAAATTTATAACTATATTTTCATGTGTACTTATATATATGTACATATATATATATATATATATATATATATATATAATTGCACATAGATGCAGCTAATCTTAGCGAGGCAATGTACTTACTATATCACTAATCCGGATGTTGGAGAAGCCGAACACATAATTGAACAGAATGAACACAGCCCACACCGCCAGCAAGGCTAACCGATGCTGGTCAAGAAACGCCTTGTTGCTGGCGACCAGTTTCTTGTCCGCTTTCTTTGCCTATTAAAAGAGAAAATGGGATGCACATATGTATTCACACGTAAGCCTGCATGAGCGTTCACGGAGAAGAAGACATCAGCCGTTGTATGCATGCGTGCATATGTATGACTACACAACCAATCATACCAAAGGTTCAAGATTGCGAAAGTAAATACGCTTTTGAGTCAGAATCCACTGCACGTACCATGATATCAGATTAATGTGCTCGGGGCTCTGTCGAAAATACAAGGATAGCGGCAGAGAAACAACCCTCCTCCTATCGATACGGATGTATTTATGTGTTCTATGTCACGTGTATGAATGTGCTGTGTATGTATTTTCTCGCTGGATACTTCAATTGTTTTTAAAGTATGTACGTACTACTAAAATAGTATATACTGTATGTAGATTTGTAGCGTAAGCGGACCTCATAAATAAATGTCTTAAGGTCCTTTGGTCTTGACTGTCTTCCCAAAACACTCAGCACAAAGAACTGAATATATATATATTTACGGAATACATCCATACTTTGTTTTTTTTCTTTTTCTTCAAAAATATATCATAGCCTCTTCTGATGAAATAAATAAACAAGAAGTGCAGAGAGAGGAAGAGAGTATATCGTATATATGTACTATATTTTACTATATTATCATGAATACCATGATACTTTAGGGTATATTTCATACACATTTACATATCCTATACCTAGTGATTGAGAACTGGTGAACTGCCTACTAGAGTGAGTGGCCTGGGATGACTATTGGCGCTCGCCAGCACACGTCTTAAATGGTTTGCGAGGGGTGGCATACCTAGGTATACAGGACACACACATACATAAATACATGCACACATACTTATACTTTTACAATAACACGGATACTTAAATAGGGTATAGGCGCCTATACTTATATAGTCACCATGACATCTCACGTACCCTATGGTATAGCCAATGGCGACCTGGCTAAGTCGACGTTTGTACCGACTGTGAGTGTAATAGGCTCGCCGGGGGCTAGTGCAGCCTGTACTAAAAATAACATCACTCTGCAAACATTGTTATCTCGGTTTGCCTTCGATGTTCCGGTGAAGGTGTCACTGCGAGACCAGTCGAATCAAAAAGTACTTCTTACCCACCATGTCAGTCAATTTTAGAGAACAAATTAACTTGGGGCCATTACCTACGAGCCAGGTGGATGAGCAAATTAACGGTATGTTGTAGGTGAACGACAGTTCGGTGTGGC